CCTAGTATATTATCTATTGTTGAAAATGTTACATGTGCACTTGAGAAGAATGTCTATCCTGCTGCTTTTGGGTGGAGTGTTCTGTAGGTCCTTTAGGCCCATCTGTTCTAATGTGTGGTTCAGTACCTCTGTGTCCTTACTTATTTTCTGTCTGTTTGATATGACCTTTGGAGTGAGCGGTCATTTGAAGTCTCCTAAAATGAATGGATTGCATTCTATTTCCCCCTGTATTTATGTTACCATTTATTTTATATATGTAGGTACTCCTATGTTGGGTGCACAGATATTTATAACCATTATATCTTCTAGTTGGACTGTCCCTTTTATCATTATGTATTGTCCTTCTTTGTCTCTTGTGACTTTCTTTGTTTTGAAGTCCATTTTCTCTGATGCAAGTACTACAACTCCTACTTTTTTCTCCTCCCTATTAGTTGCCTGTAATATCTTTTTCCATCCCTTCTCTTTTAGTCTGTGTGTATGTCTTTAGGTTTGAAGTGAGTCTTCTGTAGGCAGCATATGAATGGCTCTTGTTTTTTATACATTCAGTGACTCTATATCTTTTGATTCATTCATTCAGACCATTTAAATTTAGGGTGATTATTGATAGATATGTACCTATTGCCATTGCAGGCTTTAGATCCTGGTTACCAAAGGTTCAAGGGTAACTTTCTAACAGTCTAACCTACCTCACTTACTATGCTATTACAAGTGCAATCTAAAGGTTCTTTTTTTCTTTCTTCCTCCTCCATTCTTTATATATTAGGTATCATATTCAGTACTCTTTGTCTACCCCTTGACTGACTTTGGGGGTGGTTGATTTGATTTTGGAACTTCTTAGTAATTAATTGTCTACTTTCTTTAATGTGGTTTCATTTCCTCTGGTGACAGGTATTCAGCCTTAGGAAGACTTCCATCTAAAGTAGTCCCTCCAAAATACACTGTAGAGTTGGCCTGTGGGAGGTAAATTCTCTCAGATTTTGCTCATCTGGAAAATTTTTAATCCCTCCTTCAAATTTAAATGATACTCTTTTCGAGTAGAGTATTCTTGGTTCAAGGCCCTTCTGCTCATTGCATTAAATATATCATGCTGCTCCCTTCTGGCCTGTAATGTTTCTGTTCAGAAGTCTGATGATAGCCTAATGGGTTTTCCTTTGTATGTGATCTTTTTTCTCTCCCTGGCTGCTTTTAATACTCTGTCTTTATCCTTGATCTTTGTCATTTTTATATTATATGTCTTGGTGTTATCTTCCTTGAGTCCCTTCATGGCCTAAGAGACTATCTCCTTCCCCAGATTGGGGAAGTTTTCAACAATTATCTCATCAAAGAGTCTTTCTATCCCTTTTTCTCTCTCTTCTTCTGGTACTCCTATAATGTTAATATTATTCTTTTTGGATTGGCCACACAGTTCTCTCAATATTCTTTCATTCATGGAGATCCTTTTTTCTCTCTGTACCTCACCTTCCTTGTATTCCTGTTGTCTAATTTCTATTTAGCTTACTCTCTCCTCTACTCCATCTAATCTGCTTTTAAATCCCTCCATTGTATGTTTCATTTCTGATACTGTATTCTTTAGCATTTGTATCTCACTCCTGAATTCATCACTGAGTTCTTGAATATTTTTCTGTAGCTCCATGAGCATGTTTATGATTTTTATTTTGAAATCTCTTTCAGGAAGATGGATGTGTTCAGTTGTGCTTGGCCCTCTTTCTGGAATTTGTGGGATATTGGTTTGAACCAGTTTCCTTTGACATTTCATATTTATAGATTGCGCCCTCTAGTGCCCAAAGCCTCTACTCTCTGGAGCTGCTCAGTCCTTGGACCGATGGCAGGGGTTTCAGGGAATTGGTGCTGGTGCCTGAGGGGAGAAAAGCATTGTTTCCTGCTTCCTGGCTACAGTGCCTGTCTCCACATCCAGGGCCAGTGGGCTGAGCATGCAGGGAGAAACCTCTATGCTTTGTACTTTAAGCTGCTGTAGGCAGGGCTACCCTCTGACTGGCCTAGTGCAGTGGTGGGGGCAGCCAGTTAGCAAGCTGCTGCCAGCAAGTAGGGAAGCACAGCAGGCTGCTTATCTCAGAGGGGGATCTTGGATCTGTGTAGCCAGCCAGGGGGATGGAGTGCCTGAAGCCCCTGAATGTTTCCAACCTGCTGGAAAGAGTGCACCCAGACAATTTTGTCCACCTGTCCTTTCTCCTGAGCAGCAAGCTCTGTACAATCCTTGCCCCTTTAGCAGCCCTCTTGCTGTTAGAAGTCTTTCAGACTGCCCACATTTATTTTGTCCCAGAGCAGTCAGATGTGGATCCCTGTTTTCCACAAGCAGCTGGAATCTCAGTCTCTCCAAGTGTTCTACCTATCTTAGCTTTCCAACCCCACTAATCTTCAGAGCACCATCAGCAAAGAGTAGCAAGGCAAATACTGCACTCCACTTCCAGAATTACCTTTCACAGTGTATCAGTCACCTTCCTGGGTTCGTGCTCCCAGAGCAGATCTCCAGGGCTGGGTGTTCAATAGTCTTAAGCCTCTGCCTCCTCCCTGCTCCATTTCTCTTCCTTCCTCTGGTGAGCTGGGGTACAGGAAGGGTTTGGGTATTTCTGGATCACTGCTTTGGTACTTTACCCTTTTCCTTGATGCCTGCTGGTTTCCCTAGGTGTAGGCAGTCTGCCACAGCATTCTTTCCTGTTGCTCTTTTAGGATTTGATGTATCTGCTATATTTTCATATTATATGTGGTTTTGGGAGGAGGTTTATGTCTCACCTCTAATGCCACCATCTTTAATCCTCCAAGCCAGGAGACATTTTAAATAACTGGAAATAGTCTCAGTGACTAGAGCTCTTGGGGTCATTCATATGAAGATGGCAGTTAAACTCAGGAGTGGTGTAGGAGATAATCAAGGGAGACAATAAAACTAGGGAAAGGAGATAAAAATGTAAAATATGGAAGCCCTTCAGCAATGTTGACATGCATCCATGTAGCCAAGGAAATGAATGGATAAAGAAAAAGTCAGAGCATAAGGATATAGAACCTTAGAGGATACCCATAATTCAGAGGAAAACATCACAAAAATACTATGAATGAGAGAGTACTACCCTATTTTACAGATGAAAAAGTTGATGCTGGGGAGGCAAAGTGACTTATGTAAGGCCATGAAACAATCACAACTCACCCTAAGTCCTTCCAGATTCCACATTGTGTCAATCTACCCACTTCCCAATCTCTGATAACCAATGGCTAGAGAGAAGTATACATATACTGTTATAGTCTCTTCCCATAGTATCCAGGATTTATGTAGGAACATAGGATTTTAAAGGAAAGATACTGATTTAGGACAAGACAGGAATGAGGACCAAAGCTGAGCCAGTATACACCAAAATTAAAATGACATTTTTGGTTCAAGTAGACATCTATTAAATAACAGTGAAATCACTACAACATAGGCAGCAAGAGCAGGTGGGAGTAGGGAAAGCAGTATAGGTGCAGATGGTAGAAGGAGAAGGTAAATTGATTTCTAAATTCTTCATTTGTCTTCTATTATGCAGAGAGTCATTTTTTTATGTATCTACACTTTTTCAATTTAGCCCTCACCAGGTGATGACTCTAGCTTTACAGCCTTAGCTTAATCTCTCCAGGTAATGAAACCATGAAGGAAGTTGATAATTGGGTTTTTCAGCTTAGGCTTCAATGTCTGCAAGCTTGATTTCATCTTAAATAATTGCTGGGAAGAAGTGTTCTATGCCAAATATGAGTGTGGATTGCTGTGGCAAAAAGTAAAATAAACCCTTTAGCAGAATACTAAAAGCCAGTTTCTGAAAAGGTATATTGCCAAACCATACCTACAGAATTCCAAGACAGCCAACCATCAGCAAAGAGTAGCAAGGCAAATACTGCACTCCACTTCCAGAATTACCTTTCACAGTGTATCAGTCACCTTCCTGGTATAAATGTATAGGTGAGATGAGATGTATGCCTAAGCACTTGTTGCCTCTTTCCTCCCTGAGTTGCTTGACAAACCTGAGTTATTCTCTATATATCCTTCACTGAAGATCTGGGCCAAAAGAGCTGCTTTCTGTTCAGACTTAAAGGCTAAAATAGTCTGAATTCCAAACAATACAGAACTTGTGCCCACCGTGGAGCCATGATTCCAAAGACAGACATTCTCAGAGCCTCTTTTACATTTCCACTCTTTTCAGAAGAAAGCATCATTGTCTCCAGAATCTGCCTAGTTAGCTCAGTGGCATGAGAATTTGCCAGCTTGCTGTGGTAAGGGTAACTCACCATAGCTGGTCTTTATCTTCTGGTATGCAGACCTCATACCTATTGGAGTACTCTGAATGGCACATTGATTTCATAAAGGAAAATGTACTAACAGAAACTCTAAGGGACAACCACTGCCAAATTTATTTTTATCTCAAAGTGCCAAGTACCTTATTATTCAGGGAGTACAAATAAAGCGATTATTTGTACATTAAGCAAGCTGGCTCAGAGTGTACTTTGCTCCCCCAATTTCCTGGGGGTTGGAGACAAAAACATTTGTACCATAAATGATGTTGCATGTCAATTCCAAGGCCTCTTACTTTCTAGATAATTCATTCCTTTTTAGAAACACACCAACATCTAAAGTACTATAATAGCTATCTCAATTATGTCCAGAAGAATAACAGTGAAACAGGGTAATTTTGTGAGTAGCAAGACCCAAAACAGTCCATTAAAACCAGATGATATTGAGCTGTCATCACAGCTTTTTAAGTCAAATACTAGCCAGTATTATAGATAGATTATGCTGATAAATAAAATAATCTTAGTTCATAGTACAACAGGCTGACTATTCTTAGAATGTGAATGTCTGGACTCCTTACAAATACTTCAGTATGACACACCAATCTTCAGAGATTTGCAGATGTCTGCTGCCTCTAGAGATTGAACAAGGAAGGAATATGGCAGTGAATGTAGACATGTTCATACAAGAGAAAGAGATATTTAATAATGTTCACTTTTCAACCTTACAGATTATCCAGAAGGTTCATCTCTAGCTGTGGAAACGGAAACATAGCAGTTTTCACATTTTTACTTCTCTCAGACAGGTCAGTATTCTGAGGGAGGCACACAGAGTGCCACCTGCACTGCTAAGAGGCAGTCTTGGGGGCAGAACTAGAAAAAGTAAGTTCTAATCCTGGTAAACAAGATGTTAAATTCTTCCCTCTTATATTATTCACATAAGCAAGAGTTCTATACATATTATACTGAAAAAGATTCCCTGATTCATTGAAAACTCACACTATTCACTTGGGCTAAAATGACCCCAGGGTATACAGAAACAGCCAAACATCCTGTTCAGGTTATTTACTTTAATACCATGAATTATAAACCTTGTCCTGGTGCATTTCAGGGCTCTGAAATGATGCCGACTATAAATAGATTCTTTTTGCCTGACTCCATTATGTCAGTTAATAACCTACTCTTATGCACCCAGAGGCAAAAAACACCATCCCTACACTCCAGCTCCCCCCAAATGTTACTAATTTGTTTATCAGTGGCAGGCAGCCTTGACCAGAGAATTATCTTTGGCCTAGTAAAAAGCTGAACAGCCTTCTCTTTGCAACATTCACAGGTAAATAAATCCAATGTAATTCAGTATTAAAAGGAGAATTTTAGTAATAGAAATGCCATGGAGCTCAAAGCTCTGATCCAATTAGCTTTCCAATTCTATTCCCATGAAAAGACTAGCAATTATTCAGAAGCCCATCTATTTGTGGGCTCTCATGTCTTCATTTCTTTTCCTTACAGAACCCTGCTATGTACCAGCACAGATATTGTATAAGACCTCATGTATGCCAGCCATTTTGCTATGTACTTGATACATATTATCTCATTTAATCCTCACATCAACTCTTTGAAGTGAATGTTACTATTCTTATTTTGCTTATGAAAACACTAAAACCCAGAGAAGTTAAATCACCCATTCAGCTTAGTAAATGGACAACTTAATTGCAACCCAGGTCTGTCTGACCTCAGAGTATGCTCTTTCTACTATGGCACTATATTTAAAAACCTGATGGGCAATTCACTGTGCATCTTCATTTATAATCAAAAGTTAGGGAGAGGGAAAAATTAAATCTGTATTCTTATTCAAAGCCCTGATGAAATGTTTGATGTTTAAGTGAAACAACTCATATGGCAGTAGTATCTAGGATTCAATTTATCTATGGTTGCTCATCTCTCTCATTTTCTCATTTTAGCATTTTACCATGGATATTCTATGGAGCACCAGTACTACGATATGTTAACAGATACTAAAAGGGGAAAAATGTTCTCCAGTGAAATAAACTTAGGAAACCCCATATAAGCAAAATTAGAGAGTTGTCTTCAGCACAAGAATTCTCAAGGCTTTTCCTATACAAATGAATTTTGCAGCTCTCCTGAGTGGATGATGTAGTATCTCTTTGAACTTACTTGACTGAACTTAGGTCATGAAACCTTATCTTAGTGCAATACTTATCAGGACTTATATAATATGCTAAGGAAATCTGTTAATCCCCAGAAATGGAATAAGTTTTTCCCAAATTTATATGACCAAATCCTTTTTCTTTTCAGAATATTTTGAGTGAATATTAAACTATAAAATATATTTTTATATGATTCCATACATAAGGAAAATTGCCTTTAAACAATGCTTTCCCCAGGGTACTCTGTTCAAATAAATTAATTGATTAATACTACAGGAACAAGAGAGTCATGTTTTGATAGTAAGAGAAAAGTATTTGGGACTACAGGAGGGAAGAGTGGGAGAATCATTTCAAAACTTATGAAGATATGAGTAATTTTAATATATATAGACACTTAATACAGTGATGTTTATAGAAAGTCCAAAAACAACCTGAATGTCTATCAGTAGGAGAGTGGTTGAATAAGTCTTATATGTCCATATTATTAAATATTTTATATATATTTTCTTTTGTTTCCCTTTTGTAAAGTTTTTTAAAGTATTACAGATAAATTGAATACCCATCTACTTAAACTTAAAATTAACAAATGTAACATATTTTTCATTTTCTCTCAATTTTTTTGTGTATAAAAAGAAATTATTGCCATAATTCTTACAGAAAAAAACACTGTTTCTACATATTTTCTTCAAAATGAAAAGACAAACTTGGAAAAACATTTGCAAAATATCTAACAAACAAAATTTAGCATTCTTAATTTACAAAGATCTTGTAAATCAGTTAAGGAAAAGGAAAACACAACAGTTAGAAAAAGGGCAAAGGATGTGAACAATCAACAAAAATTAAAATGAAGTCTAAGCATGAAAATTGTTCAACTTAAAGAAATGCAAATTAAAGTAACCCAAAAATATCAATTTTTATCTACTAAAGCAACCAATTTTTATAAAGTATAGTACCTAATGTTGGCAAGGAAGTGTTTGAAACAGTTTCTCATATATACAGATGATGTAACATTAAATTCATAAAGCATTTTTTAAGAGCAATTTGGTAACATACTAAAGACATTCATACAATTTTATTAGGTAAGTCCATTTTAAGAATTCATTTTAATGAAATAATCAGAGATGTACACAACTATTCATCCATTTATTACAATAGCAGGAAATTGGGGGAAAAACCCTAAATCTCTAATAATAAGGGAATAGTGAAATAAATTGCTACATTATGATGATGAGATATTATGCACCATTGAAAGTAATTATTTTGAAGAATAATAGGGTTATGTGAAAAAGCTGTATGAATGCCGTTTAATTTAAAAATACATTTTTATCACCTTTATTGAAATATAGTTCACATAGCATATGATTTGACCATTTAGAGTGTACAATTTAATTTTAGAATAGTTTTCATTACCCCAAAAAGAAGCCCCATACTCATTAGCAGTTACTTGCCCTTTCTCCACTTCCACCTCTAGGGAACCACTAGTCTACTTTATATCTGTATACATTTGCCTATTCTGTACATTTCATATAATCCATGATTCTATAAATATACTATGTATACTTTTGGGGGGAAAATATTTGCAAATCAAGTATCTTAACCTTCTAAAGTTTCTTATAAAGTGAAACATACACTTACCATATGATCCAGTATTTCCACTTGCAAATATTTCCCCTAGAAAAGTGAAAACCTGTGATCATACAAACATTTGTATATGAATGTTTATAGCAGCTTAAGAGACTTGTATGCAGAATATATAAAGAATTCTTACAATTCTGTAATGAAAACAATATCTAATTGTCAATGGAGAAAAAGGATCTGCATAGACATTTCTCCATATACAAATGATCAGCCATGAAAAGTTGCTTAACATTATTAGCCTTTAGGGAATGCACATCAAAATCACAAGATACCTCTTAATATCCATGAGGATGGCTCTAATACAAAAGACAGATAATAAGCAGTGGCAAGATTGTGAAGTGAGAATCTTCATACATTGCTGATAGGAATGTAAAATGGTGAAGTCACTTTGGAAAACAGTTTGGCAGTCCTTTAAATGTTAACCAGAGGATTACCATATGATCCAATAATTTCACTCCTAGGTATAAAACCAAGAGAAATGAAAATATGTCCACATAAAATTTCATTAATGTTCACAGCAGTATTATTAATAATAGCCAAAAAGTGGAAAAGATGTTAATGTCCATCTATTGATGAATAGGTAAATATGGCATATTAATAAAATGGAATATTATTTAGCAACCAAAAGATCTCATGCTACAACACAGATGAAACTTGAAACATTATAAAATTACATTTTTAAATAGAAAACAAGTCCATAACTCCATTGCCTTAGCCAGCAAAAACCCAAATTCCAAATTCATCCAGCTATATGCCTTCTCCATTCCTGTACTAAGGCTGCTGAGAACTACTACAAAACTAACATAACTGATTATAAATGCTGATTACAAATAACACACTAAGATTACATAGTTGTGGTCTTCAGCGTAAATAGCCTGATAAGTCTTCACTACATACCTACTTACCAGTATTTCTTTCCTCTATCATACAGTCTCTCTTTTTACTCCTATACTATTTCATAATGAAAGTCCTAACACATGCAGCAGGGCTAGAAAAAGAAATAAAAAGTACCCTGACTGGAAAAGAAGAAATAAAATATCCATATTTATGGATGACATGATCATGATCATCTACATAGATAATTTAAAGAATCTACAATAAGTACTAGAACTAATAAGTAATTTTAGCAAATGCATACCACACAATATCAATGCATAAACATCTGTTGTGTTTCTTTACACAAACAATGCATAATTAGGAAAGCAAAATCAAAAACACAATGCCACTAATAACTCTAAAACTTTACAATAACTCTAAAAAATTAAATAGACATAATTCTAACAAATCATACACAACATCTCTATGCTAAAACCTCCAAACCACTGAAGAAAAAGACCAAAGAAGACATAAGTACATGCCAAGACACACTATACTCATGGGTGAGAAGACTCAGTATAGTTAAGATGTCAATGCTCCCTAAATTGATAGGTAGGTTTAATGCAACCCCAAGTGAAATTCCAGCAGGAATTTTTGTGGATATACAAAAGCAGATTCTAAAATTATAAGGAAAAGTAAGGGATCTAGAATAGCCAAAACAATTCTGAAAAAGAAAACCAAAGTTGGAGGACACAAACTGTCCAATCTTAAGACATACTTTAATGCTATAGTAGTCAAGATAGTGTAGTAATGACTAAAGCATAGACCCATAAACCAAAGAAACACTAAAAAATAAAGTACAGAAATAGACCTACATAAAGATAATCAACTGATTTTTACACAAAGATTTAATGATAATTCAATGGAGAAAATACAATCCTTTCAACAAATGATACTCGAAGCACTGGACATCCCTACCCCAATACACCTTACAACACATACAAAACTTAAGTCAAAATGAATCATTGACCTAATGTAAATCATAAAACTCTAACAGTCTTAGAAGAAAACATAGGAGTAAATCTTTTTCACTTTGAGTTAGGCAAGGAGTTCCTAGATATGACATCAAAAGTAATATACATAAAAGAAAAAATTACAAATTGGACTTGAACAAAACTAAAAAT